GTGTTTAGCTTAGTCTTGCTTGGTTTTCTGAAGAATAAGCATATTCTAAAATCTCTGTCTCTCTAAACATTCAAAAAATGAATTCACTATTATAATTTCCCCAATAATTGTTAAAGCAAAATATTTCTGGTATTAGATGCAAGTTAATATTAAATATTATGTGATCAAATTTACTACTGAAAAGACTAACGTATGAAAGTACCAATGGTAAGAACACTACCTTTTTTGTTGTTCCATTTATTTTATTTTGTTTGTTTGACAAGTTTCATGAATAGCGCTTTTTTTTTTTTGACATTTGTCTAATTTTCCTTTGACTAATTTTTTAGCTGGGGGAACAATCTGGTTTTTATGGAATCCCAAATTTTTGTGAGTGTGTGTATGTTCTAAATAAACTCAACTAGGTCGTATGATTCATGATTTTCCATGGACTCACTGACTTTATGTTCTCTCTAGAAGCTAGTTGATTAATCTTACTTGATCAGATGGACATTCTTGTTTCCTTTTGAAAAATGAGCTGTTTGTTAAGAAAGGTGTACTTTATGTCCCTTTTTTCATAAAGATTTTTCCAAAAATTTGTAAAAGTTTGATCGAGTTTTGCAGCAAAAATAAGGACTTGAGCCCCTCGTGTTTTCCTGGGCCAGCTGTTTGCTAGCTGCATTCAATGATTAAGGCTTGAAGAAAGCAAGCAGAGATGAGAAATGTATACTGAGATATTTAATAGGCATCTTGGGGAATTTTTATCTTCTCTGTATTTCCATTCTTTCATAGGTAAAGCAAACAAGAAAAATGTCACCAAAAAACCCACTTTTAAGAATCTAACACAAGAAGACAAAGCCAAGTTTTATTTGAATCCATTTCAAGAAAGGATCCTTACATCACACATATGGAGCTTCATTATAAAACCAGAGCACATACAGGCAGGCTCCTATGCACAATAAATTCTCTGTGAATCTGTGTATTTATATTCATGCGACCACATTTAAAAACACTAGGATTTTGCTATTTCAGTGTAGTACTACCTTACACACTTTAGCATTTTCTTTGCTGGTATTTTCAAGGCTTAGCCTTCACTTCGAAAGGGGGATGCCTTTGAACTCCTTTGAGATGTGTCATTCTTTAAGTCTTCCTGAAAAAGTGGCCACCCATTGATAATTTCGTGACCTCGGTCCTGTTTTTCTGGTATAAATCTATTCTAATGTCTGTCTTCAAACATATTCCTTTTAGCAGTAAGAAAGGCTGAGAATTTTAGAGTCATGTTCTAGTTTGATTGTCATGAAGCGGCAGAATTCCATACCAGATGCTTGATTGGGGAAGTAATCGCTGCTCTCTGTTTATATACCTTTACCTGTCAGATGCTCCTTTTCCTTAGGCATCATTGATTTAATATTTATATATAGTCTTTATCCCAAATGATACAAAATACATTTTTGAACATATATTCTTAGCCTTAGTTTTATTGGGTCACTTTTCCATTTTTATGCCAACAATAGGCAATATTTATGAACTTCAAGAGATATCACATGGCATCACTCTTCCCAAATTGAATTTCAAACTAAATTGATAAGCACAACCAAAACATAGCTCAGCATTTTAAATGCTAGTACCAGGGTTTGCTATCGATTAGACTTAAGTCAAAGTAATTTTTAGAAACTGCTTAAAAATTCTAGTAAGCTTACAAGTTTTAAACTCAAGGGAGTTATTTAAAATGCAAATAGTGTTTGTTTCTCTAATTGTTGGTGGTAAATAAAAACTGAAACAGAGGCCAATTTATTTTCAGGTTCTTTCTTTTTTATTTCCTTTTATGTGGAAAAGAAGAAAGATGAAGCCATCATCAGAGGAATCCCTGCAGAAAAAGCCTTTTGTACAACTGCATCATTCTTAGTGCTCCCTGGTCCACACATGGTCCAGCTCGCATGGGAAATAAACAGGCATCTGTGGACACTGCATAAGGTGCCAGTGAATTGAACTGTCTGAAGTTTATGATGATCCCCTCATTACCTGGCTCCTCCCAATCGTAGAACAACTCAAATTAATTTATCTTCAAATGCGCAGCTATAAGAACAGGAAAATGAAGAACTAACTAACTAGAGGATGTGTGTAAGCAAGCAACATTAGAATTTTCCGAATCTCTTCCAGAATTTCTCTTTCTACGCTTCTAACATACAACTACCTATTAAATTATTTAATGATACTAAAGGTAAACAAGTGATTTTTAGAAGCATATAAAAGCTGAAATAAACATACAGCACTGGGAAGTAATACTTTTAAATGGGATTTAGAAGTATAAGAACTTTTCCTAAGTTAGTAAATTCAGCCAGAAAATTCTTTAATATTTTTCCTCTCGAAATGTAGCCAAGCAAACATCTATCTTTGCTTTCTTTGCAGGAAAGAACCAGAATCTGGATAGTTTCCAGGCCATCCAGACAGCTATTTCAACTGGAACAAGTGACCTTTGGAACAGACCAGAACATAGCAGCCTGGCGAGACAGAGGGGAGGAACAAGTCAACTGGGAAGGACCTCGACATGTTCTTGTGAGTTCTCACTTGAAGAGGACAATAAAAAGATAAATTAAGTTAAAAGGTTTTTTTTTACAACCAATGAAAACAATGTGTCCATGTTACTGAATTCAAAGTCACAGTTTGAGTTTTTAACTATCATCCTTTAATACACAAACAAGCTTAGCAAATGTAGCTCCCCACTCCTTTGAGTGCAGGGAATGATCCTTAACTACATCACATCTATCTTTAAATCTTCATAGCCTTTTGAGTCTCAATAATTCTTCTTTTATTTTCCTCCCTCAATTGGGACTGATTTCCTTAGCCCATGATCGTGTGGTGGCTGTTCTATGTTTTTGGATTATCAAGAGTGTTATTTAGCAAATTATTGTTGCAGTCTAGATTATAATTGAAAAGAATTCATTGAGCAAGAGAAAATGGTTATGTTCTCTGAATATTTATTTAGAAACTGTGTTGTTCTTTTCTCTCCAACAGAGTATAAGAAATTTGAACTCACATAGTTAGCAAGAAGCTTGCTGAAAGGATTACTCAACCCTTTTTCCAAATGCTTAAAAATAGTGTTGTGTTTGACTTTAAAGAGAATATAAAACTGGCAGGCAAACTTTCCTTCAAGATGGTTGAAAAAAATAGAAAAGTTTAAAAAAGTAATTAAAATAAAAAGATGTTTCCAAGATAATATTAATTGATATTTTGCAAATACATTAACAATAACAAGTTGGTTAAGTCCAAGGTATGAGAAACTGTTGTAGGATTCCAGAAAGTTCCTAATAGGGATGTAGACAGGTACAATATATATTGAAGAATGCTGTTGAAATGATAATTCCTACACCTTCTAGCCAGATCTAGTTTAATAAAAACATCAACATTTCAAAATCTTCATGTTTTAAAGCAGTTGACAGTTTCTTGCATTGTACAAGAGTTGGCTTCAGTCGGAAGAAGTTGGGTTCATATTTGAGTGTGCATCTGACTCAATGCCAAAAATCGTAGCTGAGGTAAATATGATAAAACAGGTTATTGCAAATTTCTGTCGTAGAATTATGGAAATATGGTAATACAGATTTAAAACATGTAAGAAATTTGGCTATTTAATTTATCATGTATTTTGAAAAAAATAAAAATAAGCCTTTAAACTCAATTCCTTCTCTGGTATTTCATTCTCTTTTTGTTTATTAGTGCACTATAATTTTGGAAAATAGTCCTCCTTAGGGTCTATGAAACAGAACGGGGAAACAACACAATCTGTTTAAAGAATATCCACATTTCAAAAGAAAAGCACTTGAAAACAAAGAAATACTAGAGCACAAGAGGCCTCAGGAGTTGGTGTCTTTTCCAGCATAAAGGAAAACCACTCCGGATGAATTCAAGAAAAACTATGTATTTGGATGAGGCAATTCCAGAAGTGGGTTAATTTGGATCTTTGGTAGCAACATGGGAGACGTGGAGTAAGTTTGTGTCAACCTTCCCGGGAAGGCACTGGAGAGAAAGGTTACTGAAAGATTGACCTTAAGTTTCTTGGAAGCAGCTTCCATCTTCTTCTGAGACCCAGGGGCTCTCGGGTGAAACCAGCCATGTTCATATCAACAGTTGCTACCTGCCTAACGTGGAGTTGATGAGGAGACTCAGATCCAGCTGTCAAACTTGGGTCCAAGACTCTCTTAGTAATTTAACACAGGCTAAAATCCAAAATCATGAGTAAATACTGAAGTTGGAAATAAAGATGGAAATCCATGGTAGAAATTATTAGCAGCCAGCTTTTTCATGGTTATGGTAACATCAAAAAGAATAAAAATACAAGCATTTAGAAAGTCAGATTTATCAGAAATTCCATCTCAAAATGGTGGTTTTCTTTTTAAATCCCAAATATACAAAACAAGAAGAAATGCAGCAAAGCATCGCCATTCTATTGTCTTGATTGAACCATCAACTGGGTATCTGACACTGTAGATCCTACACAGTCCAAAGGACCCTAATTTAAACATAATTAAATACAAATGTTCCCAGGGAAAGTCTCAGTTCATGAGGGCATTTTAATACCCAATGGGTTTCATGTATGTACTCATATACTTCTCTTACTTTAATGACACTAAACTAAAGCAGGGATCTTGTTAATTTAACAGCATCAGTTAGCAAAGTCATGGGATGTTTCCTTATATGGTTTTCATCTAAAGTGAGTAACAAATGGATTTTACTGAATGAATTGATGAATTGTTCTCTGTGCAAAGGCTACACCTATGAAACCTGTGTCTCTAAAGTGTATGACACCACTTTTCAGGTAAGGGCAAATCTTTTCATGATTACACATTCAGCCATGACCCAAATCCTAGTCCAAGCCCACTGCAAAATGTATCAGTCAGGATCCCCTTTGCCTCTTTACTTGACTGAAAGAGTCCGTGATTTTGCTTGTTCTCTCTCCCCCCTCCAATTTATGACCAAGAAAATCTGCTATCTACATAACAACAGAGTTCGAGACATTATTTAATAAGTAAGTTATACAATTTAATTTATTTAAAATCATTTATTCTCAGCAAAATCAAACATATCATTGAGTTTACATAGAAATACAGTTTTCAACCAGATCATCATAAAAATGCACTGGTGAAATACGTGTTCATAATTGATGACCGATTACATACTATTTAATCATGCCAGTAGCAGAATTGATCACCATTAAAAATTGGTAATGTATCATAAATATGCAAATATCTTCTTAGTACTCTATCGTGTTACCATTGATAATAAATGGCCACTAAATATATACCTATTACATAAAGCTTTTTAAAGTACAATAAAAATACAAATTCTATTTGTTAAAAATAAGCCATATATATGACTTCAAAACATTCCCATTATATAAATTCCAAAATACTATATGACAAACAAAATTATAAAGACTCTTCCTTATGAAACATACACTACCCTCTAATTAAGGTACAACTTATAACAACACAAACAAGAAGGTCTGCATATACCATGGAACTTTATGGAGATACATACAAATGTACTATTGCATAAGCATATTTGACTTCTTTACTAGTGAAAATGTACCTTTAGTGCTTGAAGGTAAGTCTCATGTGTAAAACAAGCTACTTACTCATTTATTTTTGATGGTTACATCCAAACTAAGCCCATGTTCTCATAAATTGATTTTCTTGAAACCAATAAGTCACATTAGAAATCTTGACCATTTTGTTGCGCAGTTACTGTTAGTCTGTTATGTAACAGGCAAAGATATAGACAATATATTTTTAATATGTGCAATGTCCAGCAGCACATCAAGATTGAGTGGACAGAGAATTTCACTTCTCACATATACGAACAGGCTGAGAAGAAACTTGAAAAATGAGATTCAACTTTAAAATGTTTTGATACTTTACCGTCATACATTTTAAAGTATCGAATCAATGGGGCATCACAAAATAAACTTCAGTGAGGAAAAATACCATTCTTAAAGAAGAATATATGACAATAGTTACTGAGTAGAAATATATTTGGTAAAGTAAGTATGCATAATAGGCATTGTATTTATACACAGCATACATTTCAAATACATTTAAAGGGCAGATGAGATTTAGATTTTACAGTAATGTTATAATACATTGGAAATGAGATTTTTAAAAATTTAGCTAATAGTAAATGTTTTTGTTGTTTTTCACAGTCATTATTTATAAAACAAGCATGTTAGAGACTTTTAATAATATGATATTATTACCTTGTATTTGCTTATATTATGAATATATTTGATTTAATTATTATTGGAATGTATGTGTTTATCAGCCAAAAATTAGTGGAAAGGTGGCACAAAATTCAAAGTTAACATTTTCCCAAGGAGGTGAACAGCATTTTGTACGTAAAATGACATCTATCTAGTGAACGGTAGCATTTTTATTGATTTGAAAATTGAACAGGTGTAGTCTGGCATTGGTATATCTCTTCAGAGTTTTAAGTTATCATTTCAGGTATGGCTTTTACAACATCAGAAATAAATCAGCAGCCTGGAGAATGAACTCAAACTTCAAGATGTGAATTATTTAGACCAGAGACAAAGCATAGTGTAGGGATTTGTGTTTCAATTACAAATCCATTGACAACAGAAACCCAAAGGAACTGAAAGGTAAGATATACACTATGCTAAGTTGCTTTCAAAATAAAAGTTACAGATCAACACTGAGTGTGAAGAACTTTTACTGCAATAGTTTTCAAAACATGAAGATGTCCAAAAACATATTGGCACATTTATATACCTGTCTCAAAGTAACAATGCATGATATAAATGGATATAAACAAATGGAACACAGGGCAGCGTCTCCTTCTTGACATCAGCACCTACTGTCAAGCGGGTCTAGGTGAAATACTGTGCCTTCAAGAGTTAGTCCCATTTTGAACCCCTCCTGCAAAACAGAATAAAAATGATTAAAATACAACTGCTATGATAAAAATAAAATAAAATAAAATCACTAAGTAAAAGTAACCATGAACAGAAATTCAAATCTCTGTGCTTTGATCAACTAAGAACTAATTACCCACCAAATGTTGGCTTGTCAAACTTTTTATAGATATATCTCACAGGGAAAATTTTATCCTCACTGGCATTTTAATGCTTTAAGTGTAGGTCAGGTTACCATGCATGAGAATCAGGAAAAAAAGCTCTATATAAAATTTAAAAAATTTACGTCTTAGGTTTTGAATCTTTTTACAGAAGAACTTACTTATTATGTTATTCTACTGTAGGTTAAATCTTTTGGCTTCAAAGATCATTATTAATAAGGACTAAAATAGCTACGCTTCAAGACAGCTCATTAAATTTCACCTTTTCCTCTTCCTTACCAATACCCAGAGGCTGCATAAAATAATTGTTGTTAAGGTCATCCCATAACCTAAGCTCCCCATACAGTCCTGCTACCGCTTTTCAGTGGACTGGTGCCTGAGTGTGTTTCAGGAGTTAAGTGACCATCAGACATGCAACTGCAGTGAATTGCGTGCTTCATTTCACTCTAAAAGCTGAGTTAAAAAGTGATGGCTAAAAGTGGTCCTCCACTCCAAGACCCGAAGCACTCTGGGTAGACAACTGACTTTAGGCCATCTCTGGTCTCAGCATCTCTTCCCACCCTGAGCCTTGAATCTGTGTGTACTGAGCTACTGAGATGAAAAGCACTGACTTGAGTTGATCAGTGGAACTAGAGGTCACATCGTGGAAGTGTCAAAATGTCCTAGTTACTTTTATTTAGTAAGTACTTAAATGTACTTCTATTTGTACAAAATTAGCATACGGAGGAAGAAGTACTTATAAAGTGGTAAGCTACTCTTTACTTGTAATGAATGCCCAGAGATTCTTCTTCATTATGTTTATAGTACAGAGATTAACAATGTCCTCGCTTTAAAGGTGTACTAACCTCTGCCCTGCACTTGGCATGTTAACTGTACACAAATTGGTGAAGTTCAGAGTACTTACCATTATTTTTTAAAATGTTATTATCACAGAAATATTTTACCTCATTTTTTGTATCTTTTCAAAAGGCATTGAACACTTTCAAAATAAGTGTACTGTAAATTGAAGTACTGTAAATTGAAAATACTATAAGTAAACTATTCTTTTACATTTTTATTCAGGTATATGAAGCACTGTGCATGCCATCATTTTCTCACGTATTACAAATAAATGACAGATATGACAGGTAAGAAATTAATAACTACCTTTGTAATGTTTTAAAGCCACTCAATATTTTTAAAGTGTATTGGTTCAATCTGACAATAAACCGGTATTATTTCACTTATCTCAAAAATACTATCATTGTGTTATCAGTATTGGAAAGTCAAAAAAGCAACTAAAGCAAAATAAATGTTCATGATTATTTCAATAATAAAGTACTTGACTATCACTTGCGATATGACTGTGCTGATTTTTTAAGGATAATGTGCCCCTAAGTTATTCTAATCATCCCAATTGACAGATACGTTATTATAAGATTTCTTGCTTTTCTTTCTTCCTAAACTTCCCACATACTTTGTAACTTTCAGAAATTTCACTTTGTAAATCATGATTTAATGAAGTCAAAATCCTTTTGAGTTTCCATATTCTCTTGGATTTTGAACATCTGGTTAAACATGAGTCTTTTTACTTCATGCAGAGACTGAAAAAATCACAGACTAATACATTTCACAAAAAGCTATTTTATGATTAAAGTATTAATAATAGCTTTGCATTTGAAACATTTTGTTCATACTGACAAAGGTTTATTTTGGCTTATTTTCCTATTTGGAAATAGGAAAATGCATGACGGAAGGAAAACATTTATACATGTTATTGCTTGAATCTAGACACAACCACAAAGCCTCATTTGCTCATAGGTGGAGCTTTACAGAGGTGGCTGGATCTAGGTTGTGTTGAAGATGGATTAAGGGCGTGAGAATTACATTAGTGCATTGATTGGTTTAGCATAGTTTTGGGTGTGGATGGCAGGAGGTATCTTCAAGGTGTGGGTGGCACCAAGCAATAGGCTATATCGGATGGGATGGGATACAAGAGAAAAGCAGGCTTACTGCTGCTGCTTCTCCTGCCTGCCCTACCATGATCTGTTTCTCCTCTGCAATGCCAACCTGGACTGGAGCCAGCCGACTATGTCCTGAAATCTCTACAAACTGTAACCCAAAATAAAGCTCTCCTGCTTTGACTTGTGAGTTTCAGGTATTTTTTCTCAGCAATGAATATATACGGCACCTGTTACATGCTGAATTATGTCCTTTGAGCCTCGATTTTTCCTATTTGTTGGTTTATAAATCATTTAAATTATAACAGCTTTTTAAAATGTATTATATATATATTTATAATTTTCTATTTTCTTGTTATCTTAATAAAATTCAAAGTGTATTAAAATTACTGGAAAACTAATTTATCGTTATTTACTAATACTTTTTATAGTAATTCATCTGTTTCTGGTACTTTATAAATATGGAAAATTTTATTAGGATATTTGTGTAGAGACTCAAGAAGTTTATAATTATTTTCTGCTCAGAATATACTGTTTTAACAGATTTTGATAGCAAATAGAAACACATATACGAATAAAAATTATTCCCCATGAGGATACTATGAACTAATCCTGATCTAACAATAATTTAGAATTATTATTATGTTTTCACTTTTACTGGTTGTTAGTAAGAAAATGAAACTGTCAAATTGCTATAGCAAACAGGCGTTTTATAGTTCTTTATGCTTCCCTTGATGAGATGGAACATGTTTACATGTATATTAGCCAGATGGTCTTTTGTGAACTACTGATTTCTGATTAATTTGTTGGTGTTTAATGTTTTTATTATTTGTCTACTTGTTTTAATAGGCATATATATCTATATATTCTAAGAAAGAAAAATTTAAATGCATTTATAAAACAAAAGTGTCTACATGTTTCTCTTATAAAATTTTCTCTCCAATTCAAAAGTCTGGTGAGCATTCTATTATTTCCTAATGTATTTAAAAGATTAATACTTTTGAAATTTGGTTATAGCATAGGTTTCATTTGTACATTGTCCTTCTCCAAATAGTTGACCTAACACCACGTGTGCATAATCTTTTCATCTTTTGTTTATGAAATACACTATCAGTACTACCCGAACACTATGTCAGGATGTCCTATCACTATCAGTATCATCCTATTGCTGCAGCTATGAAATTAAGGTGCCATGCAGCTTAAGTTGTCAGATCAAAATATTACATTACTTATTCAAACAAACATCTAACTTTCTAACTAGTAAAATGAAATGTTGCATTCATTAGATACTTCTATGATTTCAATTCATTCAGTTACTTTAAGAATAATTTAATCATAACCTTGTGTCATTGAAAGTTAACTAAATATTTCACTATGCTTATTAGTTCAATAGAGAACCTATTACACTGTATTACGTTTATTTTAATGTGTAGAGAAAGTGCTAAATGTGTCTTAGATTAATAGCACAGAAAGATTAAAAACAAAACTCATCATACACTTTAGTTCAAGAATATATTATTTTACTTCAATTAAAGTGACCTTGCAAGTTAATTATAGACTAAAATAAATAAGCAATATAGCAAATAATCCAATAGTGACTAAATTATTAAAAATAACCTTAAAATGTAGACTATGAAATCTCATTGAACAGTTTATTCTCAGACACACTCACATGAAACTGCTGTTGAATTATGAAATAAATCATGCAAGTATTAAAATTTTAGCTTTCAAATAGTCGAGTTATTTGAAATTATTATGAAAATAATATACCAACCATCGCTGGCGCTACCCAACATGAAAGCAGAAAAGAATAAAGAGAAGATATTAAGAAAATATTAGGATTAGCAAAGAACAACAACTACCACAGTTAATATTATTTGGCTAACACATCACCAAGTCATCCCAATGCAATGTTTCTCAAACTTGGTTACTGCAAAAACCTGGAACTGGAGACCTACTGTATTTTGAAAATTGTTAGAGTTTTTTTAAAATTTTGTGATAAGCAAACAAAACAAAAAAGCCCTTCACTGTGATGGGCATCACCATAAGAACATGCCCTACCTTCCCACAGGGCACACATTTGTGCCTGCTTCTGGAAATGCATTGGTCTCCAGTAGCACTAGCCTGATTGCAAAAGGAATGAAAAAAGATAGGAACACACTTCGTGTGGAATATGGTATTCTCATTAATTAACCCTGCTATTTCAGTGAAAGTTTCATACTATCTGAAGAATGGAAAATCTGTGCCATCAGGCAGGACACACGAATCTGATGGGGTGATTTCAAACAACTAAGGACTTTCAACATGAAACATGAAACAACCTGCAACATGAAACAACTTACTGTGAATTCTACTGTTGGCAATATTTCTTTTATTAGGTTTATATTTTTACTTTATATTTGCATAAGATCTCTGAATATAAGCGGTTCATGACTTTTGAGGCAAATATTTAGGAAATTTTCTAACAATTTAAATTTAAGCATCTAAATTATTTTTCATGTAAATTGGAATTAGGAATCATACAAGTTGAGAACATTGTTCAAACACATTCTTTGAGAAACTCAAGACATATTATATACTTCAACAATTAAAACAAAGGCATGTTATTAAGTTTAGAACACTGAAAGCTTTCACATAACACTACAAAAACAGACATGCAATCCAACTTGAGCAGAGGGTATTCATATCATTCCAGGGAAAGAATGTATTTATTCCTGTTAGATTCGAGTCCCCCATTGGTTGTTTTTTGTTTGTTTGTTTGGTCTTTTTCTGGTGTGTGTCTTTTTGAGTCGGGGTCTCACTATGCACTTCAGGATGGTCTTGACCTCACTTTGTAGCCCAGGCTGGTCTTCAACTTGCAATGACCCTCCTGCCTCAGCCTCCTGAGGGCTGGGATTACAGGAGTGAGCCACCATATGCGAGTGTTTGTTTTGTTTTTGAGGAGGACTGGTAGGGGAGAAAACTGAAACATGGAGAGTGGATGTATGAGCCTAAGACTAATCAACAGAAGCACTTCTGGCACCTTACTCCTGTGTCTTCACAATGGCTCCTCAAATAGCTTTATATAATTGGTGTCTGTCTGGATTCCACCACATGTAAATTTTTTGATGAAAACAGTACAGAATGGTTTTGCCCAAATGTAAAGGGTAAATATAAATAGCAGTCATTAACCTTTGGAAGACTATTTATTAATCATGGTGCATTATACATAACTTTTAAAATAAGTTTTCTCAAATGTCTGGAGCAACTTATAATTGAAAAATAAGAGACAGATGAGAAAACTCAATTGCACGGCCTTCCTAAAGAAGCTGTCACTGTGCCTGCTTTTTCAGTAAGAATCCAGAAATTGTGACCCACAGCTACAATGCTTCTTTTCAGACAGAATTATGCTGCTCTGACAAAGATTTTCCTCATCTTCCAGTAACAATTTTAAAATTCATAACTGAAGACCCAGATCAAACCTTGTAAATCAAATGCACTGACCTTTTAGTTTCTGGCTTTCAAAACAACAAAGCATTAAAATCTATGTTATTTTGTGTAAAAAAAAAGAACCATCCTCTTTTCATTGTAAATTAAACCATTAAGAAAACCAACACCTTAATTCTTACCATGTATAGAAGTATTTTTAGAACTAAGTACAATTATTTTTTAAACTAATTTAAGAAAGTTTTTATAGGAACAGCAAATCAAGGTAAGAATAGTTTGGGGATATAACATTTTCGTTTTCCCAGATTATAAATAAACCCCAGACAATAAATAAACCATTTATTGTGCAATCTGTTAAAACAGTCACCTGCATTTCATCTAATTTTGATTGAATATCTGGAGGGAAATCCCCTGCTCCACAGTTAAAGGGGTCAAAAGGTTCAGCTCCAAACAGGTCCCGTTCTAGAAGGAAGAAAAAATACCTTAGTAAATAAAATGACAAGAACTGAATTGGGATGTGTTGTGTAGGAAAATGTAAATCAATATATGATCAAATGAGTCAACTTTCTGCATTTATACTTCATGTTGGGCTTTCTGGAGTTTAAACCAAATAAGGGAGCAAAGACCCATTTTGTGATATTAAACACTGCTTAGTTACAAAGAACTATAATCCAGAGAGGTTTATATGTCCAACAATGACTAATATCAGTGAATATCAGTTGTCAAATATTGATTAATACATATATTACAATGTCTGCATCTTTACACCATTTTAACTTACTAAAGTTTATAAGATACTCTCTGAAATTTCTTTTATCACATATATTGATGTATTGTAACACAAATGCAATAACAATAGTAGGCTTGAATACACTAGCAGGCAGTTTTACTCACAGATCATGTGTTTTTAGTTTACTTTCTACTTAGGGCAAACTTAAGGCAGATAATCTCATGTAGTACAAAATCCTATCATCTTTATAGATAACCACAGCGAGACATTTTTAAAAGTTAAAGACCTCATCTGTCAGAAACAAATTTACTTTTTTTTTTTTTTTTTTTTTTTGGCCTTTTTGTTTTTATTGGTGCCAGGGATAGAACTCACAACTGCCTGCTTTCAAGGCAGGCGCTTATGCCACTGAGCTAAATCCCCAGCCCCCAACAAATTTACTTTTACAAAAGGTAGGAGGAATGCAGTATCATAAAGTTGTGATTTTAGATCTAGGATGTCTGCCCAATGGCTTCTGTGTTTAGAGAAGAGGCTTTTGAAAGGTGATACACAGTCTTCAAATTCAATGATAAATGATGATGTGTAAGAACTGATATTCCATTTGATTTCTACGATATTCTCAAAAGTCACTCTGTGACTCATTGTGAAGGATTCTCATTTCTCCAATTATGAATTATTTTCAATTCCTTGTATTAATTTTGTAAATGGTAAGCTGCTTGGAAGTGTGTGGCACTGGTAACTGTTCCATAAACAGGAGGGATGCACATGTAATATGGCATCTAGTAAAGTCACTTTCAAAAGCGAAAGGTGAGACAAAAGCTGTAAGCCAGAGCTGCTCTGAGCAAACGGGAGTTTATGACCTAATACATCAACTGATGCAGGATACTCTTGCTGTTGTTACTTCCTTTCCTTCACCTTAAGTAGCTCAGCAATAAATCAAATTTAAGAGAACACTATACCACGAGCATACTGCACATTACTGGCCACACAGCAGGTGTATTATGGGTTGTATCTAGATGTCTGCCAAAAACTACTGCAGTCACAGGTGGGTTTTTTGGAGGTGGTTGGGTCTGGAGGGTGAGATGGTGGGAGTAAAGGCGTCCCACCCTGGGTGTGAGTGCTACCCAGCTAAAGCGCAGGTGGAATGCACACAATAAAAGGACAGAAGGAAGCTGTTTAACTACTTGCTTCTCTGATGCCTTCTGCTCGCCATGAACTGCTTCTCCTCTGGGATGCCCCTCTGATGTGCCACTCTACCTTGGAGACAGCGGACTAAGGAGGGAAATCTCTACAAATTGTGAACTGAAATATACCTTTCCTCCTTTAACTTTGGGCATCAGGAATTTTTGTTTCAGCAATGACAAAAGTAACTAAAGGAAAGTTTGTTCAAAAGCCATGAATTCTTGAAGGAGAAGAATTGCTGATCATGCAACAGAGATGTTCATTACAAGACTTTCTCAAACCAGAGCTTGAGTATTTCTGGAGATTTGAGGTGGGCTTCAAAGAATACTTGATAGTCCTGAAATACTGTGTGTAACTGGCTGTGAGTCTGCTGTATCTTGCAGCCAAAAAGTTTCTAACTCACTCTCAAGAATCTGAGATTCCTCTACAAGTTAGCAACTGTACTATGCATCAGAAAGATATTAATTTCATGTATATTCTTAAATACTGTAGAATACATACTCTAATCATCTCAGATAGGTCTAAAATTCATAACAATCATAAATTTGATTTCTATGAAAACAATCGCCATGTAGCTAACATTAAAATTAATTGCAGCTAACGCAGCTGTGGCAGAATAAAAACCAAGTAGCTCATCCTTTATTTAGACCATGTATTTTGCTGGGCAACAGATAAAAATAGTGAAGAAGGGGGTCCGGGGTTTAGCTCAGCAGCATGAGCACCTGCCTGGCAAGTGTGAGGTCATGAGATCAATTCCCGGTACAAAAAAAAAAAAAAAAGAATAGTGAAGAAAGGATTATCCCATTCCCTCACAGAATTTATACCTAAATAAGGAGAGGCTATTGAACAAAATAAAGTCCCGCATATAACAAAGGGGAGACACAATATTCATTCCAAATGAGAAATGGGATCAAGAACTGCTAGGATTCTCAGCACTAAAGAGAGAAACTCAGAGGCCAATCTTGTAAGATTTTGTTTTACACACTTAAGTAGAAAATGAACAAAAAGACATACGTTTAATAGTCCATTTAGAGGAAAAGTTCTTTATCTAAAACCCAGCTGGAATAAACTTTTAGAAATACTTGATAACTACAACTGAATGACCAACATATGCTTAAATGGTTAATTTACTATCTATTTTTGCTGAATTTTTCAACAAAATGGTGTTAAATCAGTTTGTAACAAATAAATTCCTTGAAACTATTTGACTATTCTGCCCAGATTTTCCAAATATATTTCAAATTTAACAACATTTAAAACGAAACTCAGGACTGGGGATTTAGCTCAGTGGCACAAGTGCCTGCCTGATAAGCTCAAGGTCATGAGTTTGACCCTTGGCACCAAATAAGTAAGTAAGCAAATAAATAAATAAATAAAATAAAACAAAACTCCGTACACTGCATTTTTTCCTGTTAACATTTAATTTAAAATCCTGCATTATAATTTACTTTCAATCAAAATTCTATAAGATTATTCTTTTAAAATACCTTTAAACCTATTCACTCTTCTCGATATAAATTTTAAATTGTATTAAAATTAGAATTTCACCCTCTGAATGCATAATATTCCATTTTGGATACCTAGTACATCTTCTCTAGCTTTCATTTGACAGACATCTAGGCTTTTTCTATTTTTGAATATTGTGAGTATTCCCGCAATAAACTGCATGAATGTCTCTTCAACACAGTGATTTCATTTTCTCTGGACATATACCAGCTAGTGCAATAGCTGGAACATACAGTAATTCTATTTTTACATTTTTGAGAAATGCCCATTCATTTGTCGTAATTAACACTCCCATCCTTGCAATAGTATGCAAAGGATGCTTTTTCTACAAGCCCTAGACAGTGCTTGTCATCTTTGGTCCTTTGGTGAGAGCCATTCTCACCAGAGTGAGGTCATAGCTCCTTGTAATGTTGGTATTAATTTCCTCAGTAATTGGTGATGTTGAGCAGTTTTTACACATTATGGGCTACTTGGCTATCATTTTGCAAATTGGTCTATTGCTTAGTTCTTAATTGGGTGTTTGTTTTCTGCTGTTGTGTTGCTTTTCTTATATATTCTGGATATTAATTCCAGTCAGATAAACACTTCTGTAAATACGTTCTTCCATTCAGCAGATCATCATTTTAATAAAACAGAGTTTCTAAACAGGCTCATAGGAGAGCTACAATAATCAATACATTGTGTATTGTCTTCATAACAGTTATTCAAAGTAGAAGATATAGGTCTGATATCTCGCCCAAACAATATTAGCACAAACCTTCTTTTCAATGAGCGAGGAGAAAGCATTGGTAAAACTACCTTAACTATCTTGTGCATAAATATATTATTTTCCCTTTCTTCCTTTCCCCTTCCTCCATCAGTTTGTCTTTTATATAGTTTCTTCCCAATTCATGTATCTATTGTACATTTTGGATAGTATTTGCTTGTTCAGTTTCTCACACTGAGATGATATGTTGTTTACACATTTGGGTCTGATTTATTTCTCTTATGAGTATGGTCTCAAGTTGCATCCATTTATATATAAAGGTCTCCTGAGCATCAGTGGAACACAATGGAAGATGCAGACACAACCCCAACACATTCAGTCACCTTATCTTTGACAAAGGAACCAAACATATTCACAGGAAGAAAGGTAGACTCTTGAATAAATGGTGCTGGAAAACCTGACTTTCCACACGTCGATAACTAAAACTATATCCATGTCTATCAGTCCACGCACTACACTAAAGGCAAATAGATTAAAGATCTAAATATTAAAATACAAACACAAAATCTACTGGAAGAGAAATTAGATAGAAATCTAGAAGATACAGTTGTAGGCAGAGGCTTCATGAACAAAACCCAGACTGCAAGGAAAATATGACAAAAAATCAACAAATGGGATCTTGCCTTATTACAATCTTTTGTATAACAAAAGAAATCACCAATAGTGAAAAGACAAGCCACAGAGTGGGAAAGATCATAGCCAGCTGTCCCTCAGACAAAGGACTTCTATCTAGAACATATAAAGAATTTAAAAAACATCAGACCCCCCAAATTCAAAGACCCAATCCAAAAATAAGCATCTGAGATAATCATGCATTTCTCAGATGAGGAAATACAAATGGCAAATAAGTACATGAAAAAATGTTCAGTATCACTGGTCATTTGAGAGATGCAAATTAAAACAACACTGAGATTTCATCTCACTCCAGAAGGAATGTTTATCATTAAAAAATCAACCAATAAAAAATGCTTGCAGGGCTGTGGGGAAAAAGGAAGCCTTCTCCATTGCTAGTGGAAGTGTAAACTAGTGCAACCACTGTGGAAATCAGTGTGGAAATTCCTTATAAAACTGGAATTACAGGTCTCCTTTAACCCAGCTATTCCCCTCCTTGATATCTTCCCAAAATAATTAAAAACACTGTTCCATAGTGATGCATGTGTGCCCATATTTATAGCAGCATAATTTGTAATAGCTAAATGTTGGAAAAAACCCAAATGCCCATCAACTGAGGAATGGATGAAAATGATGTGGTTTTTTAAAATGATGGAGTACCACTTAATCATAAAGAAGGAAATACAGTATTTTTGTAAGCTGGTTTTTAAAGTCATGTCGTTATTTTGTATATACAAATCAGTAACCGGAAATGTACTGACTACACAACACAAACAATATACTTTGTTTAATTCCAAATGGAGAAACAAACTATCGACCTTGCCATGTACTGAAGCTTCAGTTAAAACTTGAATTTATATTCAGATCGTTTTAGTATGAACCAGAGAAAATGCAAGGAAGCATAACATGTAAAATCACTTTAGTTTCCCTTAGTAACAGATTCAAGGCCATGAGAAACTATTCTTTCAGTTTCTGTGACAGGGTGGAGATCAGGACACAGCGAAAACATTAAAGATGAGTATCTGTTGGATGCTAACTCATCACAAAGTGACCTTGTTCCTTTTACATATAGTAGTTCCAATATAAAAGCAATGGCATTTTAAATCAAAAGAGAAAAAAAAAACCACCTTATGTAAGATAAATATAGAAACAAATCATGGCATCCATATAATTTATATACTTTTCAACTCTCTGTCACATATTCTATGATAACAGCAATATTTAAACCGCATTCTATTAAATCCGTCAAAATGACCAAAATTATTATCACCTGCTGTTTCTATCAAAATAAAACATCAAAATATCATTGGAAAGGAAATACACAATTAAACTATTTTATTATTTTAAAAACCTACATCATAATATCATTTTTCATAAAATAGGTTCCAACCGCAAACAGGGGTGTCTTTAACAGTATTTTCTAACGTATAAAGTTAAATATAATTAACTGCATTTGGTACATATATAAAAGTGCAATACTTTATTAAAATTGCTAGTGAGCTTGTTAAGAAATGTAATTTGCCAGCAAGGGTTAAATATTCCAACTGTACTCAGAGATGGCGAGGAAACGCTTACTGATTTCTGTAGACCGACTGGGTACCGGAGGTGGCTGGGTGCCGTTGCGAGTGGGTACTGAAGCCTGGTGTGAAGCTGGAGAGAACGGAATCATATCGAAGATGTCCGTGGAGGGTGACTTGGGCACCACGCTGCCGGCCTGCAATGAAGAGAACATGAATTAGTGCAGAACCTCTTCGTGGGGACACATTATCATGTAACTCTTTCATAGGCACAGAAAACACAAAGTTCAGTCCAATCATATACGCGTGCCGTTTTTAGATCAATAACATTTACCAATTAATCATTGAAATGGTTCAGTCATTAAGCCAAACCATCACATGCAAGAGAGAAATAGAAAATTTCTACAAAAATGTTCTCAAAGATGATGGCAAAAATGATGACAATACGGTTCTGGATTAATATATAACAGATGTTAGTTTTTTTGCATATGTAGAAATAACTGGCGTTTTATGTATATGCAACATGCTGTCAATAATATACTTTGCATGAAATTATAAGCTTTACACAGAAATAACTGGACATGTAATTTATCTTCCTATAAACATTGAAATTCCATTTTTACATTTTTAAAATAATATATTTTGACTCCTATTTGTAAGTACAATAACAACTGTTATTCATTGCAATATATTTCATTCTCACAAAAATTTAATCGTATTGTCTATAATAGATAGCTACCTAATAAAATAAATAATTATGGATATACCACAAAAATTACTATATTCTCTAATGTGGGTCAGTACCAAATAACTATAGGGAAACAAATAAAAATTGTATAAAAATGTGGAAAGAAGTATGTAAAAATGACGCCCATCACTTTGTCAAATAGAGAAAAAACACATGTAAAATCTAAGAACCATCTAATAGAGAAGTCCCATTTCAAGGAGGAAAGAAGAAAAGTTTACTTTTCTGGTACAACCATGTAGAGATTGCTGGAAGGGTACATACACATCAAAGTTAGAGTTCTTTTCTTTTTTTAAAGTTAGAGTAATAAGAATACATTTATTTTTCTGATTCACAGATAAAGGGAGGTGAGAAAAAGTAGGCTTAAATGGAGAGTGATGGATTTGCTATTAGTGATTGTCAGTGTATTATTTATTCAAGAAATGTCTGTCAATTTGCTTACTTTCTTTAGCAATTTGCTCTCCTCTTGCTGAGGACAGAGTTGTCCTACTGATCTCAGCCCTGGACCTTCTCTGGTTCTACCTTTCTCCTCTTTAGTATGCAAAAATGCTCAAATCTTGTCTGTCACTAACAACAAAACCTAAAATGTTTCCCCCGTCTCTATTATTCCTCCAGCCTCTGTCTTTCTTTCTTGTTCTTTCCGGACTAAGCCCTTTAAAAGAAATACTAGTCTTCCTCTCCTAACTTTTATTTCATTTACTTAACACAGGTCAATCTAGACTGTTTAACACTGAAGTCTACTGAAAATGTTTTTAGTCCTACCACTGAAGACATCATTTTGTAACTTCCATAGCTGACCGGCCCTGTGATGTACTTGCCCTATTTCACCTTTTTTTTTTTTTGGATTTCTACATGATCACTACTCTCTACTTGAAACTCTGATAAGGAAACAAAAATGCACACAAAGACTCCAGATAGCATGAACTTGGTCAACACAAATCGGCATTTTATCACTACCTGAAAAAAACACATTCTGAGATAGTTAAAAAAAAAATAAGGGGTTCATAAAAAAGGGTTATCTGCTTTGTGAATTACATGAGGTCTTGGGATGCTGTTCTCACTGAGAGGCGTGGGAAGACCGTATTTAGAAGGCGGCGGTATTAACAGTCCCAGTGATAGTCTGGAATCAGGCGAGGTGACAGGAGTGACAGAAATGGAAGACATATTTAGACAGGGAGATGGATCATCAGTACTACGCCAGAAAGAGGATGGGCATCCCGGAAACCCATGAAGCTCACGGTCAGACATTCTGGGCCGCAGCTGCAAAGGAATGACAGAGAGAGAAAAACACTGAGGAGGGGAAGGATAGGCGTGCAGGGAGGGCAAACGTGCATGTGAAAATTTATCTGCACAAGAGTGCTCTGTGAAAACGATAAGGTACTTTCATAATAACCCTGCTAGTGTTAAAACAATACAGCTGAAGGTGATTTTTCGCTTGCTTGTCCTGAGATTCTTGGTTGTTTAGTTTGATCATGTTCCATGGAAATAGTACATTTTTAGATATTTAACTAGAAGATTGCATTCATTATGACCCGGGAGGCAGAGAATTAGAGAAGAAAATGAGGAAAGCCTAAGATTTTCTGTGGAGAGGATGCCTGTGTAATAAGGTAGGAAGAAAAAGCATAATAATAATAAGAAAGTCCCTGTGGTTGGATTAAAACCTTGCTTCTAAAGCTTTGCAGAATTCGTCAACAGAGTAACATTAGCTATTTTCAATTTAATCTCCAAAACATTTTTTAAATATTATTAATGGCTACAGTATTGTATTTTTATTATAATAGAGAACAAGGAATTAATGCCTATCTGCTTTGTTTTGAGAGAGAGAGAGAGAGAGAGTGTGTGTGTGTGTGTGTGTGTGTGTGTGTGTGTGTGTGTGTGACTTACATCTCTAGGAGCTAAGAAGCAAGGTTGGTTTTGAAAAAATGAGACTCCTGTCATTACGCTCTTCCCTACAAGGAGTCAGTGCTGAATGGCAAGGTGTTTTGGGGACAGAAAGAGTTGTCAAGAATCTCAATTAAGCCTTTCTTCGCTTACTGAAACACTGTAAACAAGGGACCAGAGAGAAGCTGCTTGTTCTGATAATGCTGCATTTTTCCCACGACACGGTGCTAGGCAGAGGTCAGAAGGGTTGGTGTGGAGGGAGGCACTCTTTCCTGCTGCTGAGGGAGCCCAAACGAAAGAGGTTTGGGGGATGGACGTAGGGCCAGAGACAAGAAAAGGGTAGAGACTGAAAGGAGAACAGGAATGGATTTTTAAGTTTCAGAGGATAAAAGTGTCCCCTGGGGCCCCAAGTACAGCAGTCCGGGCAGAATCACACAAGAGGTGTTGGCCAAGGGCCCCCATGGGAGGCCAGCAGATCAAGGCCGCGAGTGCAGACATGCACAGGGTCAAGGCTGACAGTGGAGTCAGAGCCCTGACTCAACTCCTCCAAACCACACGCCAAGTCTGGAGTGGGGAGGGCAGCGTGGTGGCCTTGGAAATTGCCTGTGATGGGACCAAAGATCACACAGAGGGTTTTGGTCTGCAGCTGAATGCCTGGGCTGCGAGTCACAGTACAGATTTCCCACACTAAGAGGACTCAGAGGCAGGGCACGAAATATCTGACTGTGGATAAACTTCACTGTAAGTAAAATAGAATTCGAATTAGAAGGAGCGAGTTTGAGAACTATCCCTTACCTGCAAGCACCTCTTTATACAGTTATTGAAGCAAAGGGGAAATCAGGTAAAGCCAGAGAACTAAGTTGAGGGGAAAGTTTGGTGTCAAAGCAACATCTTTGAGGGTCTTAGCAATGTAAGACTTTATTAATACACATGTATAGTTCTGTAAATATCGACTTCTCTCTTGAACTCAAAACTGACTTCTCTCCCTTTAGCTATCTACATACTGGTACTACAGATAATATCTTCAGTCTGTAAACTTGCTGTATAGTTCTGTCACTGGTGATTACCCTGTACTTAATAATAGATTAGAATTGTACACTTCTTGTGTCTATAAAATGGCCTACAAAATACAATAGAGTGCTATCTATAGTGAACATTTTGTGTAATTTACTGTAGCATTATGTTTACTGAAAATATAGGATAGTAATCATACAGAGACATCTGTATCGTGTGAAGCATAATAAGATATGAAATGGAAGATATCTAGAGGACCTTCAGCTTAAACACTGAGGGGAAACTCTCCATATTCTTTCACAGCATAAACTGGCCCACAGATATCTTGACTAGATGCCTCAAAACAAACTGAATGTCAAAATAAGCTCACATAAAAATATTCTAGTATTTTTATCACAGTTTTAATACTGCACATTTTCATAATACTACTTCCTTTTTGAAGTTGCACTTACAAGAAAAATGAAGATGATATATACAGTAAATTCCCAATTTATGAACAAGATCTGATCTGGGAGAATGTTTCTGATTTGATCTTAAGTCCCACAAAGTGAGTTTTATTTATCTTTGACACAAATATGCAGTGTATGCTGCTTGGTGCTCCCCCGCAGACCCTCCACACCACCACTGCTTTTCCTCAGGCTTCTGGATGTCCTGGGCTCTGACCAATCCTGTCTTAATTACACTACCGCACTGTATGGAACGCACCTCTGTGACAGGGTCCTCCAAACACTGAGCTCCTTCCCCAACTTGTTCACACCTAGGAAAGTTTGCAATGTGAGATCTGTTGGTATCTGTGAAAGTTCATAGCTCAAATGTTTATAAATTGGGGACTTACTCTAACACGAAAATAATTAAATATTCAAATATGCCACTTAAAAGCATTTTCATTTTTAAAATGCTAATGCTAAGATATTTAATTATGTCAACAATTTGGAAAAATTGAGGAAATCCATTGCTCTCACAGGTGTCCTTTGGGTCATCAGTAACTTGTCAATTTTTGCTTGCGTAACATGGGTCTTTTAAAATACTGAATTTGTTATTTGTAGCTAAATATGAAGAAATCGCACACTAAAATTCTGGAGTTTTTCTTGAGTTAACCTAGAGAGCCAGGGTGCAGGAGAGCTAGTGATTAGCACGGAATATCTGCGGTCCTCCAAGCTGGCATGGGTTCTCGGTTTCATTTCTACCTTCCCTGGCACTTACGCATACTTAACTCACTACCTCAGCTCTGCTGACACCTGAAGTCAAATCATGGAATGTGCTTACTTCTAAGAATGAACTCTAAACCTGGTACATGTAAGTACACGTGAATATTTCAGATATGTCTGATTCCGTACAATAGTATTTTTCCACCAAATTAAATATTTTGTGCCGGGCAACTTAGATTCTGGGCTTTGGAACTAGTCTTTATTTTATTTTTTTAAATTTAATTAAATTTATTGGTACCATTTAGGTAGATACAATAATCACATTACTCATCATATGGATTTTGTACTTGTACATAATATCCTTTGATTTTTTTTGTCTTTTTTTAAGATGATATTTTTTAATTACTTGAGGATGTTCAGTTTTAAAAACAAAAACCACATTTGTTAGATGAAAAATGGTCTGATCTTTTTGGGGTGGAATCTTTTACTTATATCTTGACAGAAGGCTAGAGACCAAATATCGATGCTTAAGAAACACCTCATGTTCAGAATTCCAAGTAGTATGAGCTTTAGGGACGTGGGCAGAATCTAAGTTATTCTATCAGCCGGAGTCCTGTGTTCAAAACTGCATGCAAGTTATACAGAAGTGATCGCATTAAGGTATATCAATAGTAATTTCCATGTCTTAGATTTGCTGTTGTAGTTTCTTGGCCCTTTCTTTCAGGAATTAGCAGCTGGGAGCATTTGGAACACGGTGCCGCTTTGTATCAAGAGACAGCGAGGTAAAATACCCGCAAGCTGTTTTATTCACACCAAGAAATACTGCGAACAACACAACAACAAAACAAATACATTAAAGAGCCAGCGCTGTGGTGATACCTATTGAAATACTAGGATTATAGCATCACCGTATTCTGTGCTACTAATTACACTGGCAATATAATCCTTCAGCCTCATTTTAAATGTAAAACAAGCAACTCCCAGGTTAGACATGATTTATCTGTTATTCAAATAGTAGGGGCTCAACATTTTTTGGAATAAATTAAGATGCAAGCTCTTTTTCTATTTTTATTATTAGTACATGTGTCTAGTAGATGAAGTGTACATTCTTTAGGGGAATTGGCAAGGCACATAAAAATCTTAATTCCTTTTTTGTATTTTCTTTTCTTTCCCTCCTTCCACATTTCATCCATTTCTGGATTCAAGATCTTTTTTTTTTTTTTTTGTATATATTTGAAGAAAAAGAAGTGAATAGTTACAAATTTACAATTTAGTTTTTTATGTGTTAGTTAAAATGTTCTAGTAAAAAAACAGATGATTGTAATAACCCTCAAGATGGTGTAAGATAATCAAGTGGTCCAGTAGATCTTTCAGGACTGCCTGCTGAATCATCCTCTCAAAGTTCATTCTTCTGACTCATTTCCAACATCACTGTTTAAAAGAAACTGTTTACAGTAACTATTTTTCTAAGCTAGAATTTATAATCCCAGAGATGTCTTTTTTCAGATTTCTAGGTACACAGTGGGTCCATAGTAACTTTTAGTAATGAGGTCTATTTATAGTAAAGTTCTTATACCCAGCTTCCAAGTTAAAAGGGTGCAGGCTTCCTCAATCACAGAAGCAAACAATGCTAAGTGACGTGTCCAGGTACTGGGGGATTCAGAACTGAGTGCAAACACATTTATTCCCCATTAGACAGCATTTACTTCTCTCCAATCATCCTCTGTGCAACTAGCAATTATCAAAGTGAAGCTGCAGGCTGGTAATCATTTCTTGTGTGTACCAAATGTTCTTAAACCAATGTTCATGTTTAAAATTGATGCCTTTGTTTAAAGATTCACATTTGGCTTGTATAATTGAGAGTTTTCACAATCTGTTCTTGTCCGTCTTGACTTGAGAGTAGTTGAGAATGTAGAGAAAAATAAATAAGCAGGCTTGTTTACCCACAGTGAGGTACAAATTTTAGGTTATAATTGTCTTACGAGGTCTAATCAGTGGCCACACAGTTGATTATGCAGAGGTAGAATTTTATCTAACACTGGGTTTAATTGAAAGGGAGACATTTGTTTTACCCAGCAATGGAACATCCAGTATTCCTTAGAACTACAATTTTACTCATTTAACTTTGAGGCAATAGTCTGATATGGTTAAAACCTTCTACAGTCAGCAAAGCAAAACATAAGTACTCAACTTAAGAGTCAGAAGGAACAATTTGATTTGACTTGCTGTGCCCACATCTGATGATGGAACAATCTTCTAGAGGTGTTCATGAGCCTAGGAGGGCAGAATAAACCCTTTTCTAATATAAATACAGGCAACATTGCCATGTGAATGTAATAAATGGAAATCAGATTGTTCCCACAAAATTAGTACCAAATGGTGGAAAACCTAACCTCTAATCTATTGCCAAACCACTAGAACAGAGCAGAAAGCAAACAGCACAGCCAAGTAACGGAAACTTCTCAGTGTATTTAAATGGGCATTTAAAATAAGGACCCAATTTCTAAAACCAGTGAAGATTTCCACCATCTCTATGTAATACAGAGATACGTCTGCTGGGCACCAGCAAAGGCTGATTCATTTGCCAGGAAAAGAACTCATGACTGAACCAAGTGGGTGGCACTCAGAAGCCCTCAGGATTCTGCACTGAGCCATCCACCCAGGGGGCACCTCCCCACATAAACATCCCTGAAGGCTCTCTCAGAGTACATCACTGCTTACAGGCAACCTATCTACAATGCAATTGCTATGTGCAGAATGGGATTAGTACCTTATTTCTATATTTATTTAAATAATGTATAGATTCCTTAAGTGCACTGTCAAGCACTTTAGCAGTTTGGGTGTATTCTATTTTTCAGTTCTCTGAGGCCAAAATAAACAAACAAAACCTGCAAGGTCTCATTTCCGTAGTTATAAACGCAATGGGCACTTTCCTTGCTAAGCACAACAGCACTCTGGGAGGTACTTTGTGTTCTGGCTTTGTGTCCTGTAAAATTAATATTCTAATGTCATGAAAATGAACATACGTGAAAACTTTCTAGGTTAACAGAAAACTGCTTCACTGCATACCCTGGAGCAAGCTATTAAGCAAGAGATACATCTTAAATTTATACTTTAGTTACTTAAGGTAGACTGTATACTTTTCATTGCTCTTTAAATTCAATTTCAGTAGTTTTAACTGTTAACCAATCTTAAAAAGTGAGCATTTTTAAGCATGGCAACATTTCATACTAAGTAAATGCAGGCAACTTGAATTTATTTTTAAACATTTTTTTGTATCAGAACTTTGGAGGTTTATTTTAATGGTTATGAAATGAACATATATGTGCTTGGTATTATATTAGTTCATAGCTATGTAATTAAAATTCAAAATGAAAGGCGAAATATTTAATAATAGCATCAAAAAGTAACAAAGGCATATTAATAAATGCCTGCAACCATATTTTCAAAACCATTTGAAATGATCAGATTTGCCATGGATTGCATTTTAACCATTAACTGCTTTTCTTTTTAAGAGAATAAAACAAAACAGACTAGAATAAAGCAAATCAGAACAGAACAATGCAAGCAATACAGGACTTCACAACAAGACAACAGCAAATCAACAGTGGTTACCATAATGTCTCTTGCTCTCTTCAAAATAGCGGTCTATCCCCTCGTATACAATGAGATCAAATAATAGAAAACAGACTAAAATCAATCAAAACAAAAGAACAAAAGTATCACAGGACTTCAAAGCCAGATAGTAGGAAATGAACAATGGTTACCCTGTCTCATTTTCTTCAAAATAGTTGTTCATACCACACATACAATAAAATCAACCAAAACAAAACAGAATAAAACCAATTAAAAGAATGAAAGCATTATAGGACTTCAAAACAAGACAAAGAGGAAACCAACCATGATTGCCTTAATACATCCCATTACGTTCAAAATAGCATAAGCATTAATTCTTAACTCTATAGTTTGTTAGCAGTTCATTTTTTAAAAAAAGAATTGCATAATTTCTATTTCATTTTTTCACATACATATGATTTGTGGTGAGAGCAATTAAAGCACTTTTTAAATTTTCAAGTGCTAATATGATGTTATCCACTGCATCAGATACATATCAGGCACCTTGAACTTAATTCTTGCCTTAAGAAAACTTTTCTGCCCTTTGATCAAAATCCACCTTAATGAACACCACCTTTCATTCTGCCCCGTTCCAGCTGACCACCATTCCATTTGCTCATTCTGTGAAATCAACATTTTAAATTCAACATATGAGTGAGATCATGCAGTAGTTTGTCTTTCTGTGCCTCGCTTATTTTCTTTAGTGCAATGCCTTCATGCTTGGTCTTCAAGAAATTGTGTAGCAAAACTTTTAAAAATCATATGCTAAGACTTATGGAATGGAAAATTTGTGTAACAAATATTTTTTGAAGTTAAAAAACTATAAAAAGATTAGTAAGGCAAAGAACATGGATTACAAAATTATAATTTGAATTATGTGCATCGTGATCAAATATTTTCTACATATATGTAAAAAATGATTTAGAGAAAATTTTTTAATCAATCTTTTAATTGTAGTCATTGAAGAATTTCAAACAGATTTAAACTGAGATGAACACAATGCCTCTCACAAGCATTAAATGACCTAACATCCTGAGAGCTAATCAATCCATTGTAATCACTGGCTATTATGATAATTTTATTGCTTTGTTTATAACTGACTCAACCGGTGAGAATTTCTGAGTTTCATTTACATATCAACTTTCATGCTTCCTGCATAAAATACTATGCCAGACAGATGGTCAAACTAAATCAAGGACATCTCATCACTCTACTTGGCCTCTGCCATTTCTGATACAGACTCCGTTATTAGAATGACCATCAACAGGCACTCATAACACCAATCCTGACTCACCCTCTTTCAGTTACCCCACTGCTATCTCAGTGGAATTTTAAGAAGTAAGAGAAGGGGAGGAGGGAATTTTGATCAATCTAAACATTTTTGCGCCTCCAAATTGTTCCCTTGAATGCAATGTCTATCCTTGACATTCCTTCTTCAAAGAAAGAGACTACAGCACCCCAAATGGTAACCCACCTTTCGTTATCAACACAACCCAAGCCCACGTGATGAATTCTAGAAACTGCTGCCCTCTTAAGATGCCTTGAGAATGTAAATTCTCCTTATATTATCAGTTTGTTTCACAGAGTAGCTTATAATGGAATTTAAAAGCATACTTAAAGGGACACATTTTCTACTTGGGACTAAAAATGAGTTCAGAAGAAAGAAAAAAAATTGACCTATTTCCAGGGTGTGCCAAGTTTGCAGCCCTAAATCTAACTTACAGAAGTAGTCTGCTTCATAGTAAAGAACGGATAAATTGTTGCATGATATATAGATAAAAATATATTTTTTAAATTCTTTGAAAACTTTACATAGCCATGATTGTGCTTCAGTTACATATTAAATATTTTAAATGCATAGTAAAGTATACTCATTAATAAAGAACCCATAGTACAGATATTCAAATAGAGAAAAAGATCTTTGTTGAGAATAAAATTGGCTTAGAAAAGATACTATTTTAAGTTTTACCTCTTTCCAAAAGTTCTCCTTTGTCAAATCACGTAATATCAATGTCATATATGATACATGGAAAAAAAAAAGATTTCTAAACTTTGACTGGCCAGAAATAATTTAATTGTAAATGTATGTGTTGCCTACAGAGATAACCATTCATTTTAATGTCAGAAACAAATGACTTCACTCCAGTGGGAACCCTTGCTATGTAACACAAGAAACCATATTCAATACAGCTACCAGTTCATTTCCTACAACGAAGTTCAGTGCTTTGGAGTAGCCAGGCATGGGCCATTCCACCTAATCTCACTAAACGATAATCAATAGGGATGAAAGGAAGAATATGCCTCAAGGAGAAAAATATATGAAACCTTAAGACCAACGAGGATTGAAACACTACGAGAAAGAGTAACAAGAGAAAACAGCTTTCATCTGCACTGCCTAGGTAATTCTAATTTTTAAATTTATGTCATTTACTAGATGTCATATCTATCCATGCTTTTAAATTATTGTTCAAAAAAGTTATTTTTGAATGTATGATCCAGACACCTCTAAGCACCATAACATCTTGTTTTTGAGGGAAATACACACACAATCAATATACTTACTGGCGATGTTGATACTTGAGTTACTCTTAACTGGTTTTCCAAATCTTGTACTTTATTTTTAAGTTCCATATTTTCTGTTTCTAGGTCTTGGATCTAAAAAAGCAAATCATCATTGTATAACTTTCAGCATTTGTTTTTATCTTGGTAAAGATTGGCTACATACTGAACTGCAGGCATGAATAGCATTTGATACTATTTAAAATTTTATACTTTTGTGCACAGGGGCAACAATTATTTGATAAAACTTGGGAAATCCTGGAGTATTTTAGGTCACTGGAAAGTTATAATACGTCTGAAATACATTTTTATGTGTGTGCAAGTTTGATGTTCCTGATGTGTCACTGGTGTGTTTTCCTGCTGCACTGTGCAAGCCATACCCGTAATCTTGGAGCATAACCACAAGACAGTCAAACTTGCCTGTGATGATTTTGAAGAGTGGAGAAAGGATGTAACTTAATTACAAAGGAATCTGATCTGCATGGGAAACCACTTACCCAGAATCTGCTGCTTCTGCTGCTCTGATCCCCATGAGAAGCATCGGGAAGTGAAGCAAAGTCACATGAGAACACTAAGTTCTTGTGGGAATTCAATATAAAATAGTTAAAAACTGTGCAGGGGATCAGGAATGAAAAATTATAGGAACACAGTGAAATCAGTTCCAATCAGTGTGGGGGAAAACTTAATAGCAGGCTTCCTAAATTTGTTTGATGATATGCAAAGTTCCCTGTACTTACACGATACAAATGTCAAGCAAGAAGCTTAGTTTACTCACTCTTTTTTGCAGCCCTGCAATCTGTTTTCTTGTTTCAACATCTTTTCCTCCAGATTCTAGAAATTTCCTGTATGCCAGGTCAAATGCTTGGCCAATGGTTAAAGTGATCTCTTCAGCCTTTGTAAAAATCAAAGAAAGATCTGTGTTTTAATAGTAATGGCAGAAGCGTCCTCTGACTCAAGAAGAAACTTCACATGAAATACTCCAAGACATTCGTCAGAGTATCCCAAAAAGGCCACTTCAAGGGTTAGAACTTACAGTAAAGGAGCAAAATTACACAGTAATTCCATGCCATAAAAAGAACAAGGAAGAGGTCATTATGAAGAGCTACTGTAGGGGAGGCAAGAGTTCTTTACGTCCAACTTCTCTGGTTTATTGGTAGCTTTTTTGGTGGCCGTTTTCTTCTTTTGCAAATACTTAGTGCCTACTAACGAAAGCGCAGTGCCAAGGGCAGTTTCTCTTTTTGCTTTGCTATTTGTTTTCTTTTCCTAGTGAGACAGCTGTCAACTCTAGGCTGGCAACCTTTCAGCGCTGCAAGTTCTCTAAAGGAGCAATTGCTCCTCACTTCCGGTTAATTACTTCCTGGCGGACATCAAAATTTCCACCCAGGTTGTCAGATCCGAAATGGGTACGATGAGGTCAAGAATCTGAATTTTTATATTAAAAAAATCCCAATTTTAAGGGATGGTAGGCAGTTCACATTTTTGTAAAGTGGTACGGATTGAACAAAATGTGTTTGTTATTCAAATTTGGCCTGGAAAACAAGTTATGCTCTGCTAGAAACTGCCGCAGGTATCCCAAGGCCACCTGCTTATTCCTGCTCTATCTTCTGAATCCAGGGCACCCTTAGTGCATGACTACACATTAAAAATCCAAGTATTTACTTCATCAATGTTATAGAGGTTAGTAAGAACATGAATTGACTTAATGTTTAATAAAACTAATTCTTATAAAATTCTTATAAAACTAATTCTTATAAAACTCATCAAGTTTTAAAACTGATACCTAAACATTCAGAAAAGATCACATATATAAATGCAGATTTGGTTAAGTCCAACACATATATATAAAGCATACATACAAACATGGTTGAAATTATACAACTCTATGAATTTTAACTATAAATATAAAATATGAAAAACACAGTAAGTGGCTTCTAAACATAAACAAATTAGATTATAAAACCCATAATGCACACCTGTAATCCCAGCACTGGAGAGGCAGAAGGGAAAGGACCATAACACGTTTGAGGCCAGCCTGGGCTACATAGAGAGATCCCATCTCAAAAAACCATCAATCAGTCAATAAATTCTCTTGTATTTATATGTTGTAGATCTTTCCATATCAATGGACTTGTCATTTAATTTTTATCATTTAATTTTATATTTTCATTTATACACTATACATTTCTTGTTTACCAAACTTCTAGACTAGACTATTTCCTGATAGATACTAGACTATTTCCTGTTTTGTGAGTTGTTTTACTATTTTTACTTTTTCATGAGAACTATCAGCATACAATTATTGATGATGGGAGAAATCACTGTAGATGTGAAATGACTAAGTGAAAAACAAGCACATTTCTCAGGCTTTTAATATTTACTGCTCAAATCTTCAAAAATGTACCAAGACATCCTTCCACCAGAGGTCGCCCACACTGTCATGCCCTAGGCTGTCACTGGTACTGTTATCGGGCTTATTTTGGCCAATCTAATAGGTGGAGGAAAAACCTGGTTCCTACCTCAATTTGTTTTTACTCTTTTGAATGTTTGTCAGAATAAATCCATTTTCATATGAAAACTGGCAGTTCTCATTTCTCTTTTTTGCTGAAGACAAAGGTATTTTTCTCTATCTTTGGTTTATTTCAATTTTAAGGGCAGCTAGAAGGACTCCATATGCAGGAAGCTTTCCCAGACCTTCTCAGCTGTAAGTTACCCCCGTCCTTTCTTGCAGGTTCTTTTGTAAATCTGTTGCATGGCTTTACCAACATTTTCACTAGTTAGAGTTCCCTGTATCATCATCTCTCTTTCTCCTCCCACAATACCCTTAGTTTTCCATCTCGAAAGACTGAGGAGGATAAACTAGTACAGGCCATACAAATACACAGGCATCATGTTTTTCTTTATGTCAATTCCAAGGTTGTCTTGTCAGCGAAGGGAGAGATGGAGGCCACACAGGGGCTGGTACTTATCTTGGCACTGAGGAGGGACTGTCCCCTCCCCTTGCAGTCCACCAGCCAGAACAAGTCACATGGCCCAACCCAGACTCAAAGGAGAGTGAAAACCCGGGGAAGAGCATCTCTGCTGTTGTTGGATTCAGTGCTCCAAGACTGCAATTCCAATACCTTGCTGTCGTGGGCAACAGTTAAAAGTATTAAAAGTGGTCATGATGGGCATGAGCTTCTGAACGATTTTTGTCTGTTTCTTTTTTACTGGTGCAGTTTAGGTTCATATAATGATCACATTCATTATGGGGGACTCGACTCACACACACAATGCATCATTTCCTCCTTTTTTTTAAACCATTCTTGTCCCCTCCCTTCAAGGTCCCTTGTCTCCCCATTCACAAAACTGGTTCTATTTGATCCTTTTATTCATCTTTTTTATGAGAGGAACCCATCCTAATTCCCTTTTCCTTTTGAACCATTTCTTCCTCTTTCATAGTATCTATTGTATGTTTGGGTTCTTATTTACACTTTCATTTTCTCACACCTGGGAGACAATGTGATATTTACACGTATCTGATTTATTTCACTTATGATGCATCTGTGTTCATTTCACAATAAAAGATACATATTAGTTATGGTTTTTTCCACATGTGAATTTGTGGGTTCAGTGCTCTGTTTTAATAGGACTATATGTCACTTTCAAATAGTGTGTAGGCTGTGGAGTCAGTCACTAAATGATCACATCATTGATTCCCCATTCATAAATTCTACTTATCATTTATAACTTTCTAAAAAGCACGTCCTCTTTTCATAATAATGATCATGGGGTTTACTGGCCAGCATTCTGCATATGTCACCTTGCTTGATTTTCACAGGGAGTCCATGAGGTCAGAATTATTATTACCCACAAGACATACCCAAGGTCTCACAGTGAGTAGGGAACCAGTTTATAACTCAAAACTCTTAATCTCCAATCCTTCTTCATTTAGAGCGAAGAATGAGAGAACAGTATTTATATACAATGAAATTTACAGATAATAGTTGTATAACTAGATGTGTTTTGATATGCTTACATTCATAATTGTATCATGAAAGACATAACATAAAACCATAAAACATCCATGTTTCATTATAGACTTTCCTATACCTAATTCTAGTCAAATGGTATCTACTACAGGAAACGGTTGCTCTAATTTCTATTGGCTGGCGTGTTATGATGTACAGTGTGTGTTCTTTCGTGTCTTTCTTTTGGCTGCTAATGTAATGTTTTGAGTTCAGCACATATTGTCTATTTCAACAATCCCTTTGTTTTTATTGCTGATTTATTTCGGGTATACCACAACTGATTTATCCATTTTCCTACTGAGGAAGACGCAGTGTTTTCAGGAGTTAGTTATTTTGAGTAAAACATCTACAAATGTTCTTATAAAACTTTTGTAGACATGTGTTTTCACGTCTCTGGGTAAATATTTAGAACATGAAGTTGCCAAATCATAGGATGGGTCCACATTGAACACTGTAAGAAAATGCCAAACAAGGCATGTAAACACTATGCATTACAAACATGTCCAAGAGAAAGAGGTGAAGAGTTCCAGAGATGGACAGAAAGGAAAGAGAGGGTTAGGAAAGTGGAAGAAAAGAATGTACTATGCCTGTGCACCCATTCTCCATAAGGAATGTAAACATCATGTAGTATAAACATGTACTACTGCAAAAAAACGAAACTGCCAAATTGTTTCCAAGGTAACCAAGTCACTGTGCACGCTCACTAGAACTAAGAGAGCTCCACTTGCTCCACATTCTCTGCAACATTAGATATTAACACTTTAATATTAAACATAACCCTGGATGCATTAAACTGTGCTACTGGATTTTTATTTTGCATTTGCCTGTTGAATATGATAATAATCGCAATGAATTCTCCAAATCTTCTTTTAATATTACTCATCTTTTACAAATTTTTTAAGTGCTAATAGGTACAGTTCACCAAGTTTATTGACTTCTTTAATTGCACTCAACTCATGAATGCTTCTTCTTATGAACAACTCAGTCGATGAACAGAAGCATTAGGCAAAGTTTTGCTTACATCTATCTGCAAACTCCACACCAGGTGAGGAAAATGACCTCAGCCATCTTCCCCTCAGAATCATGGAACCAATTAAATTCGTAAACTGAGGCACTGCTGTAAATATATTAGCCAAGTTTCATGTGTTGACTGGCTTTTAAAAATACTATTTTAATAAAATAACTTCACATTAAAGTTTTCTGCGCATTTTTATTAGATGTTTTGTGTTTTTACTGTTGATTTTAGAGGTTATTCTATAGGTTAGATTCAAATGCTTTTTAGGCATATGTACTAAGACTATATTCTAGAAATGGTTTGATATTTATCTTGTTAATGATGTTAACATATAATATAAATTGTATTTGTATATTTTTGTCATGTTTAATGCTTTTGTGGTCAATTCTAAGAAACCATGCAAGATCTACAAAGATATATTCTCACCTTTAAAATGGAAGTTCAGTATAAAACTATGAAAAGTTCTGCTTTTTTGTCTGTGGGCCATGTCAGCTTATTTTACATAGCATTAGTAGGAGTTAGTTCTTTGTAACTTAAAAAAAAAAAAAAAAGAGGGCAGGGATTTAACTCAGCAGCACAAGTACTTGCCTGGCAAGTGCAAGGTCAAGAGTTAGAACCCTGGCACACACACAAGAAAGAATATATATATATATATATATATATATATATATATAGAGAGAGAGAGAGAGAGAGAGATACAGATAGATATAGATATAGATATAGATATACGTGAGAGAGAGAGAGAGAGAGAGAGAGAGAGAGAGAGAAGCAGGGAGAGAAAGAGGTATCCTAACACCATTTGTCAAAAAAGACTTTCTCCAATAAATTACTTGTATTACAATTATGGAAAATAGACTGGGTGTGTGGATA